TCAACATTTATGCTCATCTTGGGTTGTCTTTTCCTGTTCCAGCACACTATCACTTGCGGTTTCCCCCATTAGGTTGTCTGGATTTACATTATTTTCATCYTCCTTTCATCTTGCAAAGAAAGCACTTCTTCAATAGCTAGGCTTGCAATCATAATTTCACTCACTGTTTTCACGCTTTTTTGTCCTTCAGATGTCTGGAACCAATGCATTATTTTCTCTGTACTGTTTTCTTGCATCATGATGCACCATGGGAAATTACTTGTTTGATAGGGTTGCAATCATGATGTTTCACTGACTTTCTTCATACTCTAATGTTCTACAGTGTCTGGAACCAAAGCATTCTTTCCTCTGTACTGTTTTCTTGCATCATGCTACACTGCTGATCTTGTAATGGTATGTAGCACTTGCTGGCACATCTTACATTTCGATTGGTTGTCAGTTCATGCTGAGATTGGCTGTTTGTTTGTTGTGTCTCAATCTGGGAGTTTTCTTATTGTTGGTATTGACACTTCAGGGACTCCTTTACCACTGTCCCAATTAATGTTATTAGGGTTGAGCTGGATCAAAATGGCTTCCTTGACTCTGCGCATGATTATACTGATAGGGGTCTCTATCTACTCATTCAACATCTTCCTAGCCAAGGCAATAACTGGGCTTGTGTGCATGCTCGGCAATCTCTTGTGCTCTTTTTAATTCTTTCTTGTGCAGGTCTTCCTGTTTCTTTTATGTAGACTTTGTCACACTCGCTGTAGGGCATCCTGTAGACAACAAATTCTTGTCGGCCAGGAGGAACTTTGTCTTAGGGGGTGCACAAATTAGCCATGTAGTGTTGATTCTGATGCGAAGGGAGTTTGTATGCCATGAAGGCAGCAAAGGGTGTGAGAAATGCCTTGGAAGATCATTGTTCAATGGGCTTACAATCATAGTGTCTAACAGACTTTCTTCATGCTTTAATTTCTTTCTAGTGTCTGGAACCAATGCATTCTTTTCTCTGCACTGTCGTCTTATCTTACAGATACTTTGCAAGATCTTTTGGCAATTGGGCTGCTTATCATTGGGTTGTTATAACATGTATCAACAGCGTCTTGTTTGTCTCCATTTAGATTTTTAGAATTACTTTATTCTTTCCTCTTCAAACCTTGGAACTACCCAAGACTAAATTAGTGCTTTTTACATGATGAAGCCCTGATGTAAAGAGTCACTAAAAAGATGATTAAACTAAATTTAAAAATTCAGGGGACACAAGGGCTAGATCGACCATACTATAGTATTACTTTATGTTTCAGATATATATCTATATTGTACAGTACTTTTGGTGCTACTTTCAGGTATTGGCATCAACTTTTCCTAATGTTTTGTTAATCCATTTTTGGTCACCATGGGATGACAGCAGTTTTGCAATTAGAAATAAAGCAAACAGCCCAATACCCGAAACTCACTCATACAAGTCTTTTCTACAGTGATCGGTAGTCATCATTTTCCTTTATCCTTATTTCATATTCCATTCATTTTTCCACTTTCAATCAAGATTTTAAGAATCTTTATCGTTGAACAAGGCATTGGATAAAGGTAAGCATGCTTACAATGTTTTTTTATCTTAAAAAAAAACTTGTACTTCACTTAAGTCTTGTATTAATCAGATAATCTCTTAGTGAGTTTGATTTCTTGTACTAAACCTTAATTTATTGTGTTAAGCGTATATCTAACTGAATTATGTACAGGAGCTGCTCAGTCCATCAAAGTGTTAAAATCTTAATTACTTCATGTCACTTCACTTCACATTACTTCACTTGAATTGCACACACAATATTGACAGTAACAAACCTTGATGATGGTTAATAGGGCACGCCCCAGGGGTTGTTTACCCCAGGGGTTGTTTACCCCAGCTTGTGTTAATCCCTAAAAACCCAAGGTCGTTATTGACATTGATTCTCGAGATTTAATCAGCAGAACTCCTTTATATCTAGTATAGCATGTTATACAATGTTCAATACTGAGTTGTGTCAAGTCCATCATATTTTTATGATTCTAATGTTCTTTACACATTACTGACATATTTTGTTCAATAACTAAATGTCTCTAATGCCTAGGATATATCCTTGACCTTTGACTAACTTAGCTCCTATGTCATGGTGCTAATCAAGATATGTATTACTTTATAATCATATGATACTGCTTAGAGCACTTTTTTAGTATGGTCATCTAGTGAAATGGGATACTTTTTTACATAAAAATGAAACATTAACGAATTAAATGTTTGAGTAATGCATTAAACATATATTTCAACATATTATTAATTATTATTATTATTATATATTAATTTATTTGGTTTACACATTTTAAGTTTATCAGAATATTTAGCTTGCGTTTTTCAAGGAACCAGATCATACAATGCTAGTAATGAAGATATAAACCACAAAGAACACCTTCTAAACACATTCACTTGTCAGACAACAAAACTTTGCATCAAGACACAAATTAACCAGTAAAAACCAATCAACACAATTGCCTTTTATACAAGACCAAAAAGAAACCAGTAAATACTTATCAACCCAATTGCCTTTTATACAAGTCCAAAAAGAAACCAGTAAATACTAATCAACACAAGTGGCCTTTTGTACAAGTACCTGTTCAACAACAAAACAAACCATACATAACAAGATATTTGCATGGAAGTACAGTGCGTCATTTTATCCATGCCTTCAAACAAATTCCCTGGATGAGATCAATATGGGAGTCTTTTAATACTGGCTTTAAGTTATACATCAAACTCAAAAAACCCTTCTCCCTCTATAGAGGAAAAAAATCCTGTTCTACAGCAGGCCAGGATCTTACCACCTTCTCAGAATCCAAGAGACTGAACAGCTCTCTTTTCTTTAAGCCTTTACCTTTCCTTCATCATTAGAGTCACAAATGCTTCTCCCTCTATAGAGGAAAAGAACCTGTTCAACAGCAGGCCATGATTTATCAACCTTCTAGGATTCCAACAGGCTAAACAGCTAATGTCTACTCTTTTAGTCTCCGACTTTCCTTCAACATTAGACACCAAAACACTTCTTCATCTATAGTAGGCCATGGTCTATCAACCTGATAGATTCCAGCAGCCTAAACAAGTAGATACACAATCTCTGTAGTCTGCTTTTTGATTTGAAGACATGACATTTACAATTGTATTTAATAGCTAAAGAGAGAATGTTTAGGACATGGGTGTCACAGTGGAAAATAAGCAACACTCACCAAGCAGCTTTAAACATATTAGGTTTCAACAGCTTTCCTTTAGCTGGTAGTTTGTTTTATTGGGAGCTGTCAGTGCACACTTTACCTCTCTCCATTAGTTTGTTGTTTTAAAAGTATCCAAAGCTGAAGCTACAAGGATTAGAGAGATGATGAAACAGACATAAAAATCCTAAGGATCAAACTGTGAACCTCTATCTCTGAAGGCTGCACACTAACAAACTGAGCTATGCCTGCTCCGTCACAAATAACACAGCTCACACAGTTCATGCTTTTTTTTAGGAAGCTGCTTGAAACCAACACTAGAAAACGTGTAACAAAGATTTGCTGTGTATTTTATGGTCATTGAAGTTTATAGCCATTTATAGTCATTTAATACTTTAATTATTTATACTAGGCACTGGGAATTATTTTAAGCAAAAATTAAATTAAATATAGTTTCAATTTTAAGAAAATTAAATTAAATATAATTTCAATTCAAAATATCTTAACAAATATTAAAATAAACCTTAAATAAATTTGCTTGAGTGGCCACCAGACGATGGTTTGAAATTAGAGTTTGGACTTCATATACAAGATACAGTAAATGTATGAATACATCAGGCAGAACCTTGACTTAGAGCCATTGTCTTGTGGTTACTCAAGTGAATTAAGGTAAGGTCTATTCAATTCTTTTAAATCTGAGCGGTAAAGAAATGTTAGCATGTGTCACATTATTTGTAACTCTACTAGAAGAATGGACACCAAGTAAAGTTAACCATTCATTCATTTTAGCATGTAGCCTCGTACTGAAACGTCACAAGCGAAGCACATCTTGGAAGTGAGCTATTCAACTACTCTTATAATGTTCTACTTTACCTACTAATAGTAAACAAAATTGTATACCCTACATTAATCTTTTTATCATAATAGACCTACATTTGTCTGTACGATAGTCCCTATTATATTCTATAATTATCAGTGTTATAACATATCTTAAACCAGTTACTCACCTGTATCCTGTATTGATTGAATCTAGAGGTACATCAGAGGTAAGTATTTCACTGTAGACAGGTGTTAGTATATCAGAGATGAGTACCAACCACAGATGGATTGATAATCTTTAAACAAAGCATATTACAACATGCATTGTGGACTCCTACAAGCTTCAATGTTTTCATTGTAAAATTTTCCTTTTTATGTCTCATTATTTTGTCCAGCACTGTGTTAAATTATGAAACTAAATGTGACGGTATCCAGTGATTCTAATGAAACCTTAATGTCTCAATATCTATATATTAAACCTAAGCAGTTTTGGATTTAAATATCTTTGAGAAAGTTAGCTATAAATAATTCTCAGATATCTGATTGTTAAATAGTCTGGCAATATTCTTGAGGCAAATATTTCAGTCTTTCACGATACACCATGGCCATAATTTACTGCAATCAGCTGTGGAGTCCTATACAAATCAATTCATGCGTCACCTCTGAGGTCTGACCATCATCAATAAGTAGTTTTGGTTAGGTCTCTGCCGTGATCTTAGAGTTATTCCGAGTTCTCCAGTTTTCTCACCTGTGAGTTAGCCGTTCCCTAATTGCTAGTTTTTTTCAAATTATAAACAAATTTATTTTCTATGATTTTGAAAATGCACGTCAGGAAACTAGTACCAATAGTGAGCTTGATAACAAAGATGGGTTGAGTTGACATTAAAGTGCCTTGTACGACAATGAAGCAAAACGATTTCATCAATATTTGAAATTAGTGCTACATGTATATGTGTTGTACATAGTAATGTTTTTACTCTATTACTTTGGCTTATCTGTAACATTTCACATGTGCCTCTTGAATGTTGTTCACTGAAGTGGAGCCTCCTAGAAAATACAAAACCAAAGAATTAAGTACCTTGTAATGACATTTTTTTGGGATACAAGCTACCCGTTGGTTAACAAGAGGGGGACCAAAGGTGACATAGCAGTAGTACACTCACCTCTTAGGGTCAAGGGTTGGATTCCTGGACTAAGCATTGCATGTGAGTAGATCATTGACTGATTGCTTTGAGGGTTTTTTTCTCAGGGTGTTCTTTACAGTTAGTATAAAGTTTCACGAGAAGTGGCATCTAATAAGGCTAGGTTAAAATATCTGTTATGGTCATAGAAACGAATTTAATCAAACAATTTTCTGCTAGGTAGAAAAAATATGCAGTCAAAGCCTGCATGTGGATACTGCCATTTTCAACATCATGAAGATTTCATGACTGGTGAAGTCATATGTCACATGATTGAAAGATGTGTCAGCAGTGTTCAGCAAAGTATGTCTGTCCAAGTTTGACTCACATTGATCACATATTTATAGAGCACTTACAGTTTTTTATGTGGTCACGTGACTGCTGAATTCATTTCACATGATTGTCAATGTGTGTAAGCAATGTTCGGCAATGTTTGTCTATCCAAAATTGACAGACTGTGGTCAAGTATTTGCAGACTTATCACAATTTATATGTAGTCACATGATTGGTGACGTCATATGTCACATGATTGGCACCCATTTGTAAGCAAGGTCTGGCAATGTATGTCTGTCCAAGTTCGACTGACAGTGGTCAAATATTTGAAGAGTTATTACAGTTTTTATGTAGTAACGTGATTGATGACATCATAGTCACATGATTGGCACCCGTGTGTAACAATGTCCGGCAATGTATATCCGTACACATTTGACTGACAGTGGTCAAATATTTGTTTACAGTTTTTATGTAGTCACGTCACAACAACGATCTGATTGACTCCGAACAATATCTGAAAGCATATCGGACAAAAATCGGTATTTGATTTGGGTTTCCTTTGGTATTTCACTTATGCACTCAACAAGATGACATGGCTACGCTTCTATTGAAACAGTAGTCACAAAAATGACAAGGCAATGGCTGAAATGGGCCTGGACACCAGTGTGTTGTCATAGCAACTACAGTTTGTACATGCTCCATACTTTGAATACAATTATAATTTAAAGTTTGAACAACATTCATCAAATACTCTCAGATACATACTGATGAAAATATGGCATCATTAATCTCCTAATTAGCATTAACTTGAAGCTTGAATATCTTAAGAACCGAAAATGCTAACGAGAAATGAAATGCCGGTTTTCTTCTTTTGTAAAAAGCTTTAGCATGTGTATAAATAGTAAAACTTGGAGATATTTTATTGCAGTGTCACTTGAAGCCCCACAATATATTATTTGGAAGAATAGGTTGATCTGGCACACAATTCAATCAAACCCTGTTTTTTTCCTCTGGGTTCTCCAATATTTATCTTTCCTTGAGACTCTAACAATCTAAATTTCAATTCTATGTTTTAATTAGCTGCACAATGACTCTGATCAGCTATGAGTTTGTTTCTGGATATGGATAACAGGTCTGAACAGAGACTTTTTCAAGGAAATGATGGCACAATATGAACATTTGGTAAGAATTCTTTAAGAGAGCATATTAATTCATTTCCCTAAAAAGCTGTAAGCATTATGCTATTAACAAGAACAAACTAGGTCAGCCATTTATAGAATAAAGCTAAACGATAATATATATTTCTTAAAATAAGGTGACTGTACTTTAAGTTTGTTCAGGAAAAAGCGTCAATATAACATGGTATTGTATTGGTAGAAAATATATTCACATATTAATATTGGGCTATGTCACTTTGCAAATTCACCAAAAGCGAAATAATCCATACCCTTGCCCCACTATGTGGCAATGTTTTTAAAAGACCCCCCTAGCCCTAAAAATTCTATTATCCTGTCATACAAACTGTATTGTTCGTGCTCTAACCCCCCACCTCTTGGACGTTTTGTGTGTGTGTGTGGGTATGTGTGTGTGGGTGGGTGGGAGGAAGGGGATGGAGATGGATAATTTCTGGAACTATATAATATGCAATGTATTTTCTCCCACCAGTCATCAAAATTTTGTCATCTCAAAATCTAAATTAGTTTACATTGCATTGAAATTTTTAGAGCCAAAATACGTTTAAAATATAGCATCAAGTGATGAGAATCGTTTTCAGCTTGCAAAATAATATAAAAGTCGAAGCAATTGATCAAGCGAGTAGTTCTTTAACACAACTAGCAGTTTATCCCTTTGAATAGCTGAATTGAATCAAAGCATGAACAGTAAACCAAAATAATCTATCGCCATGAAGTTCGAAGATTCTTAAAATTCCTCGCTTAGAAGTCATTAACATCTTACTTAAAAATTCTTGTTTTAGTATTTTGTTTTCGTTTTGTTGATTAATATAAAAGACGACTGGGAAGCTTAAGGTAATAAGAATAGATAAAAAAACTCTCATTCACCTCTTTCCTTTCCAGTCAACCTCCCCCTAAATTAAACCCTCTCAGTTTTAGCCAATCAGAAATTCCATATGATTGAGTAAAGACCCCTACAACCAATATTCTATCATTCACTGGCTGCACCACAACCCATTGCTATCTGACTTYATTATATTCTTACACTTTGGTCTTAAACCTCTCTGTATGTCCCATTCATTGCCACAACCCATGGTTGTCTTACTGTCTCAGCATTCACATAACCAATCAAACAGTGCTTATATTCATTGCCACAGGCTAATGTACTTTGAATGAAAATAATTGTTCATTAAAAAAGCAAACTATTAAGTTCAATGTCAAAAAATAAGAACTCTCCTGTTCAAGTTGTCTTAACAAGTACATAATTAAGCATGGCAGGTTTCATCCAAGTGCTATTTTCAAGTGTAATGTTTCCATACACAACAACACTAAACTGTGAGTATTATGTAAACAATCAAATGATATTCAGAGAAAGCATGCATGTTCAGATCCAAAATGTTTCAGTTTTGATGAGCAGCACTCACTCATGAAACCTCCCACAGCAGATAGTAATGTTTTGCTTAAGAATGTTTGCCATCTTCATGTGCAAGAGTAATACACATAACATACCAGCAAATACAGCTATCAAAAAGACTGGGGGAGCAGAGTAAATCATTCATAATCATCTCCAGATATGGTTACTTGCCTGAAATTAAATTAAAGGAAATCATTATTCATGTATTGATCTATATCAAGACTGATTCCATGAGTCAGTTTAGGCTGAATTTGTTTGATCTGCTAATGAGTCCATTGCTTAAATTAATGGCTGCTCAATTGCCAGCCTTGATGACCAGCCAAAATAGTTTTAGATCAGACATCACACAAAACATCCTTAAATTCACAAAGCAAAAAATATTAGAGAAAAATTCCAAAGAATGGGGAAAATGGGAAAAAACTATAAAACTAAGACTTGGGAAATTATTGACATCAATTTTTATGGACAACAAACACAATTCCCCTAATTGTTTTCCAACAGTACCTTTTCATGATTGCTAAAATAATATACACCTAATATCATTTTATAACTAAAGACTCGTTTGTAAAGGTTAACTTAAAGACACAAGAAGTAATTGATGGGTTGCAAGCATTCCCAAGAGAGTTAAAAGACAAAAAACATGGTGGCCATTGTGGTACCATTAGCAATTGATGCTAATGAGAAATCGTTTGTTAAATGGTACCAACGTGGCCGCGATGCAAACAAAGAATAGTAAAAATGAAATGTCACTAGTTATACAACCACAAAGGAGCAAAAACTATGAATTATAGAAGCATTTAATTAATATTTTGAATCAAAAAATTGAATTATTTTGATTTTAGCAGAGTTTTCGCAAGCAATCATATATTTCTACATTCTAGAAAACTCAAATTTCATTCACCTCTAATTCACCTTTTCGGTGCTAGCCCTCAAGGGGTATAAATTGTTTTAGATTGTGTTACGGTCACCAAAAAGTTCGGACATTGTTCTCAAATTTCCGTACAAATTTACTGACTCTAAATGAAATATTTACTTGGTTGACGTTAAGTAAAGTTCTCTAAATAAGTAAATAATCATTTTTCTAGCTTGATTGAAGCTTTTCCTACTGCTGCTAAGATAGCTAACTAAAGGAATCTATCTAAATTTTCTCTTTAAAGTCAGTGAATTTGTATGGAAATCCGAGAACGATGTCCGAACTTATTGGTGACTGTAACACAATCCAAGCTAGCGCCGAAAAGCTAAATTGAATAGCTTTTCTTAAGTTCTTAAGGCTTTAAACATCTATTTTTCAATTATTTTTATCCTAGCTGTCTGACAACGAAACGAAAAGCCATGTTACACTTGTCACTATTAAACACTTCAAAATATATATCTTTTTAAATTGCATGGTTATTCATTTATAAATAGGTAAATTACGAGCCTTAGATGAGCCTTATCCATTGCATATTTAAGGAATATAAAACGCACACGCATGTCTCTGTACTGTGATATAAACACGCTATTGTGTATTTTTCAATTTTTTTTCTTCAAAAAAATATATTGCCACAAAACAAACCCCAAAGCAGTGTTGGGTTTTATGTTTTCTAGGGAGGGGTAAGTGAGTACACGTTTTTGTCTTCAAGCTACGAAGAAAATAAGTTTAAGAAATACTTTAAAAGACATTGTAAATCGAACAACGATATCCGAAAAAGTATTAATACCCTTCTTTAGGCTTGTTCAATGATTAAAACCCATTCTATGAACACAAAATGGATGCTTGAAAACAAGTTTTACAGCGACGAGCGACTTCACACGTGTCACAATTAATGGTCGCTAATTTAACGACAAGACCACAAATATCAGAAAAAAAGCCTTACGAAGAAGATAAAACATTTAAATTCAATATTTCAAGGGTTCTTTTAAGGTTCTGAACGTTTCTTACCGTAAAGAAATAGCAATTTTCGTCTCCCTTCGAACTCCGCCATCTTGTTCATGTGTATCGCATACCCATAAATCCTTGCGCGATTATACTCAACGCTTTCAACGCGGAACGGAAGAACTGCGGAATGGCGGAATATTCTAAAACGCGGAATACACGAAGAAATATATATAACATAATATAATAATACTAATAACATAAAATAGGTCCGCTATTTAAAATCCCGCAAAGCTGAACTCCAATGTATACCAATGAATGAATGAATGCTAATAAATAAATGAGTGGACCGCTTCTTTGAAATACTACATCCTAGCAGCTGTCGCTTTACTCACCTCATCTGGCAAACATCAATAAATAGACTACCCTGTCTGCTTGCAGAGTATGAATAGCCATACAGCTATGTATAAATATTTAGAATAGGCACCCTTAATTTTGTTTGTGTGTTTGTTTTTTGTTTTTATACTTTTGAGCTCTACCCTAACTTAAACCATATATTCTTATTTCCCTTAATCCTAACCCTAACCCTTATTTTCGTACCCTAACTCTAACCCTAATTCTGGTACCCCTAACCCTAACCCTAACAATATGTTCTCGTACCCCTAACCCTAACCCTAACAATATATTCTCGTACACCTAACCCTAACTCTAACAATATATTCTCGTACCCCTTACCCTAACCCTAACCATATTGTGAGTAGGAAACTGCAGTATTTGAATATTTCAAATCGGTCTAAAAATTGCCCTATAACAACTGACTCATTAATTTTTATTCATAATAATAAGTAATGATAAGAAGGTAAATTATACACCTTGAAAAGATGAAAAAATTTACTGACGTTTCGGACGCTAGTAAATAACCGTATTCAGAGGTCGTTTCACTGGATGTGAAATAGTCATAGTCTAGAGAAGTTCACATCCAGTGAAAGCAACTTTCAACCTTCTAATCAATTCTCAATCCATATTCGTCCATTAAGTTTCTTTTTATCAATTTTCTTTTTTCTTTTGCGTTGACCAAAACATATAACTTTTCGATCGATTATGAAAAAGGTCCTTTCACTGGATGTGAAATAGTCATGGTCTGATGGAGTTCACATCCAGTCAAAGGACCTTCAAACCTCCTTTTCAACTAATGATTCCTCCATTACGTTCTACAACTAATTTAGGAGTTGATTAGAACCTTCAAATGATAATCCATTCTACAAAACTAATTTACATATGTCTAGACTTGAGCAAGGGTAAAGAGTTTGCCCACAGGCGAAATTTCTATTGAGATGAATCACAACAATTGTAGGAAAGGGGTTGGGCACCCTGTGGTACCTTGACCTTCGTCGCACCATAGACATTCAATACTTTTAAATAGTCAATTATAAACATACTTACATATATATTTGAAAACAAAAATAAAAATCACTAATCACGTTTACTGTTGTTACCTCGATAGCATCGATGCGGTGGTCAATGAACATATATTCTTTTGAAATTGAGACTTCCTTTTCACTCTCAATTGTACTTTTATTGAAGAAATAGAAAACGCGCGCGCGTGCTTTGTGCTGTCATAAAGCACGCGGAGGTTGGCAGAACACGAGAGAAGTGTTAGGAGAATCACGACGCGTAGCGGAGTGCTTCTGGACACTTCTCGATTGTTCTGCCAATCCGCAAGTGCTTTATGACTGCACACAGCACAGCACAGCAAGCAAGTTTTTTTTTTATTTCTCTTATAAAATACAATTACAATAAAAGATAGGAATGTTGCAACGGAAARTGCGCGCGCGTGCGATGTGCTCTCATAAAGCACGCGCTCCAAGCCAATCAGAGCGCGACATTCATTACAGTTATTTTATAAATGGTACTGGCCGCGTACGACCGCTCTCTAGCTTTCTATATTAGCTTGTTATGCTGCATGGACAAGAGTTATAGAACTTTGAGGAACGTCTTTTTTGATTTGCTGCTTGATAAAGATGAAATGAAATTGAAAAACAGACATTCCCATCCACTACCTTTAACCGTTTTCTTCTCATAAAAGCCAAATTTTTAAAACGATTTCTAAGAATAACTGCGTCAAAGCAATTTTGAGAGTTATGTTAGACTTTGAACATTGAAACTGCTATTGGATGAGCGTGTAGGGAATAGGAATATATATAACTAAGATAGACTGAATCAACGTAAAAAAATGCATCTGAAACCCTTCGCATAAACATGCATAAATAAGAATATTGTCTATAATTTAATGTGGGAAAAAAATAATTAGATGTGCTGAGGCGTCGTATGGACTTCGGACTTGACGGCGATTAAATCCTTCTGCCCTTGGGTGTACGAATTACGCAAGAAAATGTTCTAGCCGAAGCATCAGGGGAGAGACCAGCCGGCCCCCAGACCATATMGGCTAATCCCTTGCATCTCTGCCACGCACGGAATCGGTTGAGAAAATAACATCAAAAAGGCTAGTCTATCTGGTGCATTGTTTTCACGGCTATTGTTATGCTGATTACGTATATTGAAGTGTGGTCCAGTGGGAAAAACTTGGGCATCGAAAATACTGAATCAAGCACGTCTAAGGAGGGTTAGTATTTGGATGGGTGGACTAAACATTATACCTACTCAAAAAAGCTTTTCGGCCTGAATTTTTTAAATCTATCAAGCAAAATTATCTATTAGCTGTGGAGAATCGAATTGAAGTTTCTTTAAGAAAATAAAATCTTCCAATCAATTGGAATTCGCTCTTATTCTGTGTCCCGCGAGGAAAGACAAGCACTATCAATTTGAACTCGCCCTTTTTAAGAGCCTATCAAGCGTACAGCATCTCTTCTTTATTTCATAGCCCTTAAAAAAAGGATGTCCTTTGCTTTCTTTTTGAAATGGTTTTCGTTGCCGACATAAGAAATCGGTGATGCAACCCAGGATCCTCGTAAAAAATCAATCAATCATCAAATAGAGAATATCTCTGTGAGAATAAACTCAAACTGACTAATCTTACGTTAATGTTAGCTATGACCACCAATAGATGTGAAAAAGTAGATCCTTGACCATAATCTCATGCTTTATATTTAGAATCCAGTGAAAGGACTTTTGAAGCTCCCAATAAACTGTTGAGCCATATTAAGTTTCCATTAAGTTTCTTTTGATCTGTTTCATATATTGTTTCTTTTGGTTATTGTCCATACATTCAAATGACCGTATTTAAAAGTATCCTTTTTTCGAACGTATTTAAAATCCTTAAATTTTGCACGCGACTAAATATGCTCTTAATAGCCTTTTTATTTGAAAAAAACTCCTAAATATCTAGATTATATCTATTTTTTAGAAAAAGTTAGTTTATCTAACTGATGAAGAAAAGAAAAAAAATAAATTGCAGTATCTTGGAAATATAGGTGTGTTAAATAGGCGTACAAGCGGCTTTCGGGTTCATAATTTTGCTGCTGTTCTTAAAACCATTTCGTTTACGATCAAAACAAAAAAAATTACATTATTGATCTGCATTTCTCTTGCTCTTTTAGAATTTGTTACTTTTCGCATCACGTCCAGTCCATGTTTTACAGATTTCGAGTCCAGTCCAGTTCAGTTCACTCCAGTTCAGTCCTTGTTTTACGGATTTTTCTCAGTCCAGTCCAGTCAATATTTTACAATATGCTGGACCACAGTCTACTGACTCAGAGGTCACTGAACTTACTATTTGTTAAAATTTGTGCAAATTCTTTCCAATTTTTTCAAGGCAATATCATATGCACACTAGTAGACCCTATCTATCTGCGCAGGTAGCCAGAGCTCCAAAGTCTTGGAAACTTTTGATTTGGAGCTAAAAGCTTAGGTGGAGAAATTAAAGATGTTCTTCGATGAGTGCGCGCTTACTCATTTAATTCATGCGAGCACAACAGGCAGTTTGACAATTTCTTTCGCGACTTCA